ATTAAAGTCATTAATTCCTCCAGTACTATCACAATATCATTGGGAAATTGCTGCCAGAAATTATACAAATTTTACAAAGATAATTCAGAAAATCTGCTTACTTTAAAAAAAATCAACTATTCTAATTCAGAATTAGGCTATCCAACTTCAGGAAGCTTAAGGATAAGCATATAATATTAATATTACTGGTAAATTTAAAAGATTTGCATATTAAATAGCACAATTCGAATATCACTCAAATTGCGATTCGAATATTACTCAAATTGCTATTCGAATCGTACTATTTAACATACCAAATCTTTTAAATTTTGCAAGTGTATTTGTATACCATAAAGTGCTAACTGATGTATCCAGGTATACAAGGACTTGCTATATATTTTCATTCAATTTTGTCATTTTCAATATATTACACCAACTAGATATTCTCTAAAAAAGTATGAGAATACTATTTTTCGATATAATATATATAGTACCTAAACATAATCAAATTGTAATTTCAAACCGTCTATGGATACCAATTATAGAAAAATCGATAAGTCAGTATTTTATAGTAATTCTGGTATATTAATTATATATTCTTAAGCTAAGTAATCGGTTAAGAACCTTAAAGCCAGATAATCTAATTATAAATCAGAACTGTCAGATTTTAAGTTTAGCAGGTTCTAATTTAGATATAGCATGTATATATTATTTAAATTAAATTAATTTTAACATAATGCTTAACAAAAAATTTAGTTGCGTACCAACCTGTTTAATGTTATTGGATATGAGGATAATAAAAGTTTAGGACAATGTGCTCAACCTGATTCTTATGTAGAACAACAACGCTTTTGTACGTATTTAAGGAAGAAACAGTTCTTTAGTCTAAAAAAAATGAACAGTATATTAACTAATTTAGATGGAGACGTTAACTTGAGTGAGGAAATAAAATCATTTAGTGCACTTGCACAAGAAAAAAGGCAAATGTTTATTCGAAATACCTTATTACAACCAACTGGTACTAATGTCTGGTATCCGATTCCAGTAACAGAACAGGAGGCTGATACAATGAAAAATGAAAATACAATAAAAAAAGAAGAACTCATTGCAATTATTAATTCAATACTTATCTCACTTCCTAATTTACAACATACGAAGTATACTAATTTAAGAAACAAAACAAAGGCTGGGCTTCTAACAATATTACAAAAAATACGAAACTTAAATAGTGCTGAAGAAACTATAGATGAAAAAAATATTATTAATGAGCATATTAATGAAAATTAAGAAGTTAATAAAATCACATCAATGCGTAGTTATAATGAATTCTTACTGCTATGTTGTTATCATTATACTAATTTTTGATTAGATCCTTATTATTAATATTAGAAATCCTTT